ACAACGATAGCGTCTCACACCAACCTTGGGAAATTGCCTTAACACTGACACGAATTTCCCCGTTCCCATCGACTGCTACAGAGCACTAGCAAGTCTAATCATCACTGGTATGGGATCTACGAGTCTGTTGCTGCTCGTATGCACATTCCCCCACGATCCCAGATCACTGTACCTCTACCCCCTGCATACAATAATGTCTTAAACCCCTCCAAGCGACGACTTCGGCCGGATTCTGTGACGACCGATGTCGTAGGTGAAGCAGGAAGCATCAGCAGTTGTAGTCCAGCCACCACGACGCCCTATACATCAATTTGGCCGAATTGAGTACAGGATGCGTCTTGACAAGGTGGCGGCTGAGTTCAGAATGATGCTCACACCGGCTCTTCCCGCGTCCTTCTCGAAATAACCAATGAGAGGAAGGCATACAGCGGCCTACCCCTCTCATCCAATCAGCGACGGTGTAGCATAGCCCCTAGGGCAGCTCCAAGATGGCCGACCAACATGGCGGCTCAAGATGTTTACTAAGATGGCGGCTGTCTCCATGACAACCACTCAAGTGGGCAGCCAGCGCGGGGGCCCCACACCCAGGCCGACGGCCTAGCTGTTTCCCGCGCAAAGCTGAGCCTGGCCTCATGCCATACAATGAGATGATGCTATCAGCTCTAGCACTGTCCACAGACATGCCACCCCGGCCAGGGTAACATTTATGGACTGCTGATGACTGGGGCTCTCACATGAGCCCAAACACTAGATGTTTCGGTTGCTGGTACAAAACTTAAGTCCGCCCACTTAACAAGTGCACTTAACAAGTGTACTGGCTCCCACAGGCATAAGAGCACTATTGTAAGTGAGCTGGTGAACCACCTCCTCACACTGATAATCAAAATAGATATTCTAAATGTAGTTATTGTCCTTGTATATAAGTCACCGGAGGCAAACCCTCAGCAGTTTAAAGACCAACTAATGAAAATAGAACACTCCTTGGAAAACCTCCCAAATCCAGCCCCGAACATCATCCTGCTTGGGGACTTCAACCTACGGCACCTGAAATGGAAGCACCTGGCTAATACAGTAATATCAGAAAGAATACCAGGAAGTAGCCTAAATGAACAGGCACATGCAAATGACCTGCTACGGATGTGCGATAGGTTTGCCTTAAACCAGCAAATAATGGAACCAACTAGGAAGGAGAACACGCTGGACCTCATTTTCACTAATAATGATGAATTGATCAGGAACATAATGATTACAAATACCTGTTACTCAGATCACAACTTAATTGAAGTTATGACAACCAAGGGGAGTAGACCTTCAAAACCAGTCCAGATTCCCGGTGGAGGAGATTTCAGCAAATTCAACTCCAATAATAAACAGATAAACTGGGAGCAAATAAAAGAGGACTTCACAGAAATAAACTGGGAAGAACAGCTAGAAAATGCAAACCTGAACCAGTGCCTTGAAAAAATAAGCTCAGTAGCACTAGAAATATGTTCAAACGGCATACCCCTAAGGAAAAAGAGGAAGAGATGCAGATTGCAACGGGAACGTCGTTCCCTATATAGGCGAAGAAAACGAATCGCGGAACAACTTGAGAGTCGCACCCTATCTCAAGAACGTCGAAGAAGGTTAGGTAGAGAAATAGAAACAATTGAACGCAAGCTACAAGAATCATACAAAACCCAGGAGAGGCAAAGAGAGCAAAAGGCCATCAGTGAAATAGAGAGAAATCCGAAATATTTTTTCTCCTATGCAAAATCAGGATAAAAAACCACATCTAGTATCGGGCCCCTGCGAAAGGGAGATGGAACTTTCACCGATGACAACAAAGAAATGAGCGAGCTACTTAGGAAGCAGTACGCCTCTGTTTTCAGAGAGCCATTAAACACACTAAAGATTGATAATCCAAATGAATTTTTCATGGATATGATACCAACATCAAATCATGTATCAGACGTCACCCTATCCCCACTGGATTTTGAAGAAGCCATAAACAGTATGCCTATGCAATCTGCACCAGGCCCGGATTCTTGGAACTCCATATTCATCAAGAACTGTAAAAAAAACACTATCGCAGGCCCTCCACATTCTGTGGAGACAAAGCCTATATACTGGCGTTATTCCTGATATACTAAAAACAGCAGAGATAGCACCACTTCATAAAGGAGGAAATAAGGCAGAGGCAAAAAATTACAGAACGATAGCACTAACATCGAACATCATAAAAAATTTTGAGAGAGTGCTAAGAAGTAAGATCACAAAATACATGGAATCACAGCATCTTCATAACCCCGGACAACATGGTTTCAGAACAGAGCGCTCTTGCCTGTCGCAGTTGCTGGACCACTATGATATGGCATTAGATGCTATGGAAGACAAACAAAACGCTGATGTAATTTACACAGATTTCGCAAAAGCTTTTGATAAATGTGACCATGGTGTTATTGCACATAAAATGCGTTCAAAAGGAATTACCGGAAAAATAGGCAGATGGATCTACAATTTCCTGACCAACAGAACCCAATGTGTAATAGTCAACAAAATAAAATCCAGTCCATCAACCGTGAAAAGCTCAGTCCCCCAGGGTACTGTGCTTGCTCCAGTACTTTTTCTCATCCTCATATCGGACATAGACAAGAACACAACCTATAGCACTGTATCATCCTTTGCAGATGACACTAGGATCTTCATGAGAGAAGGCAACATAGAGGACACGGCAAACCTCCAGTCAGATGTAGATCAGGTCTTTCTATGGGCTACAGAAAATAATATGATGTTTAACGAAGATAAGTTCCAGCTCATGCGCTATGGAAAAAATGAAAATATAAAGACGGAAACCACGTACAAAACTCAGGCAAATCATAACATAGAACGAAAAGGCAATGTAAAGGATCTGGGTGTACTCATGTCGGAAGACCTTACCTTTAAAGAACACAATAAAGTAGCCGTCACAACTGCAAGAAAAATGACAGGTTGGATAACAAGAACTTTTCACACTAGAGATGCTATACCGATGATGATACTTTTCAAAACGCTTGTGCTCTCTAGAGTGGAGTACTGCTGCACAATGACAGCCCCTTTCAAAGCTGGAGAAATTGCTGACCTGGAGAGCGTGCAGAGATCCTTTACTGCTAGAATCCACTCAGTAAAACATCTAAACTACTGGGACCGACTAAAGAGCCTAAACCTGTACTCCCTTGAGCGCAGGCGGGAGAAGTACATAATAATTTACACATGGAAAATATTAGAGGGGCTGGTCCCGAACCTGCACACAGAAATAACATCACATGAGACCAGAGGACATGGTAGGATGTGCAGAATACCCCCCGTCGAAAAGCAGAGGTGCAACAGGTCCTCTGTGAGAGAACTCTATCAACATCAGAGGCCCGAGACTGTTCAACACGTTTTCGCTACACATATGGGGCATAACTGGCAATCCCCTCACAGTGTTCAAGAGAGAACTGGATAAACACCTCCAAAGGATACCTGATCATCCAGGCTGTGACTCATACGTCAGGCTGCATGCAGCCGCGTCCAACAGCCTGGTTGATCAGTCCGGCAACCAGGAGGCCTGGTCGACGACCGCGCCGCGGGGACGTTAGGCCCGGAAGCACCTCAAGGTAACCTCAAGGTAAGACAGTCTAGTGATGTTACCTACACTGACCGTCTAGTAATGTGACCCCACACTGACAGTCTAGTGATGTGACCCCACACTGACAGTCTAGTGATGTGACCCACACTGACAGTCTAGTGATGTGACCTACACTGACCGTCTAGTAATGTGACCCCACACTGACAGTCTAGTGATGTGACCCCACACTGACAGTCTAGTGATGTGACCCACACTGACAGTCTAGTGATGTGACCTACACTGACAGACTAGTGATGAGCCCTACACTGACAGTCTAGTGATGTGACCCACACTGACAGTCTAGTGATGAGACCCACACTGACAGTCTAGTGATGTGACCTACACTGACAGACTAGTGATGAGCCCTACACTGACAGTCTAGTGATGTGACCCACACTGACAGTCTAGTGATGTGACCCACACTGACAATCTAGTGATGTGACCTACACCGACAGTCTAGTGATGTGACCAACACTGACAGTCTGGTGATGTTACCTACACTGACAGTAGTCTAATGGTGAGGTCTACGCTGACAGTCAAGTGATGTGTCCAACACTGACAGTAGTCTAATGGTGTGGCCTACACTGACAGTCTAATGATGTGGCCTACACTGAGAGCAGTCTAATATTTTGCCTACACTAATAGTAGTAAAACGATGTGACCTACACTGACAGTAGTCTAATGATGTGGCTTACACTGACAGTAGTCTAATGATGTGACCTACACTGACAGTAGTCTAATGATGTGATCTACACTGACAGTAGTCTAATGATGTGATCTACACTGACAGTAGTCTAATGATGTGACCTACACTGACAGTAGTCTAATGATGTGACCTACACTGACAGTAGTCTAATGATGTGGTCTACACTGACAGTAGTCTAATGATGTGACCTACACTGACAGTAGTCTAATGATGTGACCTACACTGACAGTAGTCTAATGATGTGACCTACAATGACAGTAGTCTAATGATGTGACCTACACTGACAGTAGTCTAATGATGTAGACTATTATCTACATATCAGTAAAATATCAGCTGAATAATGACGAATATAACATTATGAGAAGTTTTATCATATAGCTTATTAAATAGGGATTCGAATTAAAAATAATATTGTTTAAAATTTTTCTGTGTTTTATATTACGTTTTAAAATAATATAAAACAAAACTTTTAGTTGTGTGTATTTATCGCCCATATTCCGCTGGAATGATTGAGTGGGATGAACCCTGGAAACGCAGATGCGAATCCTGGTCTTGTCATAGAGTTCTTTGTCATTTATTGCCTTTGGGACCATTCAACCTTTCTCACTCGTGTAGGCCCAGCGCCACAAGAGCATGCCCTGGGATTTGATGAAAAATTTTACTCACGACCCATTTCTTTCTTAGGGGCTTTCTTTGGGGAATTTCTTGTACTCTACGATCTTTTTTTATCTGTTGGTCTGATGAAGACTCCGTCTTTGACATTTGCCTAAGACTTTTTAGAGTGAAATCTTGCAGGAACTCGAAGGCTCCTGACTCCTTATGTAACGCTGTGACAACTTGTTTCATAAGCCCAAATTTTATGTGCAGTGGTGGGATTAGTATCTTCTGGGGATCCTCCCTGGCTCCCAACTTGCTTTGTTCTTCCCCACAGAGAACTTTATCTCCTATGGACAGTCAATTGGTAATACCTCTTTGGAGATCAATCAGAAACGTGACCCGTTTGAAGGTTCCGATGACGTCTCAGCCGGACTTAAAGGAGTCCAGCAATCACTAAAGCAAAGTTTAAGAAATAATAGCAATTTCCAATAATATGAGACATAAGCAATTACAAAATAAACTACTCAATAAAAAGACAATTGTCACACATTGTTAAAGACGTGGACTGCTGCACATCACCAAAGCAGCATTTACAGAGTGAACTTAACAGGTAGATATACTCACGCAGGAGAAATGTGCACCAGACGACAATGGTCACCAGGATCCCGAGCGGCAGTTTTAGTGAAGTCTCCCCCACGTCTGGCAGGTGACAGTGTTGTCCGCTGAACCCAGCCGGACACGCACACATGAAGCCTTCACAGAGAACGGAATACCATAAGACGAGGGCAACTTAAGGAGGCTTATTACGGGTTTTGTAAAGATTGTTCAATTTGTTTATAAATTTATTTATGAAATGGTTATAGAAAGGGCGGCAACTGGTCCATGTTTCAGCATCACACCCTAAACAGAAAAGGAGAAAAAAAATACACAACGTATTATGCAACGAATTTTCAACATTTTCAAATAATTTCAGGGAACACATGTGTCAACTAAAATCATTTCTATAACACTCAGATATTAAATTAACAAATAATAAAGGATTGCATTGATCAGTTTTATCAAAAAAAGTGTTTAGTGCAATAATATAATTATTCAAAGTTACCCTTCCAAAAATATGCAATATATGATGTTTATAAATTTTTATAAAATCAACAAATGGACTTTGGACTAAAATGTCTCAATAGGTTTGTAGAAGCACAAACTCTACATATAAGGTGTAACTTGCATGTAAATTGATTAATAAATGAAAGCTGAGAAACACCTTGAAATTGTAAATTACTTTCCAGAGTAAAATAAAGATCCAAGTTTGGCCACCTGTAGCTGAGCTTGACTTCGACAGATTTCGTTCATAATTGGCACCCTTGCAGATAGGCATCCATTGAGCAAGGTGTGCAAGTTTCATGCAAATCCCTTGATAACAAACGAGAAAAAAAATTGGCCAAAAAAAAAAGAAAAAAAAAAAATTTTACATATAAATATATTGCACATACATATTACAATTATTACAAGAGTTTGTGCTTCTATAGCACATAGTAGACATTTTAGTTGACACATGTGTTTCCTGAGAATATTTGAGAATGTTGAACATTCGTTGCATAATACGTTGTGTATTTTTTTTCTCCTTTTCTGTTTAGGGTGTGATGGTGAAACTTGGACCAGTTGCAGCCCTTTCTATAACCATTTCATAAAAAAAAATTATAAGCAAATAGAACAACTTTTAATTTATACTGATATGCCCCCTTAAAAGAAAGAAAAAAATCTAAACGTCTCATTATTAGGTGGGACAGAATTTCACTCATGAACATTAGAAACATAGGAAGTAGTGGCAAATTCCAAGTCAATTATAGAAGATGAATAAGATGAATAGACAGTCCAAGTTAGTTGGAAGAGTAGGCAATGCAAATCAGGTGGAAGAGTAGGCAATGCAAATCAGGTGGATGAATAGGCATTCGAGGAGAAATGGGATAAGACCAAGTTAGTTGGATATGCAATCCGTTAGGTGGATGAATAGGCAGTCCAAATCAGGTGTATGGGCCCACAAGAGAGGGATCCATATAAGAGGGGCCCACATGGGAGGGGCCCCCACAAGGGAGGGGCCCCACAAAGGAGCGGCACCTGAGGAAGAGGCCTAGAAGAGAGGGGCCCAAGGGGGAGGGGCCGATGAGAGAGGGACCCACAAGGGAGAGTCCATCAGGGGAGGGGCCCACACGGGACGGCGTCACAAGGGACGGGCACCAAAAGAGAGGGTCCGACAAGGGAGGGGCCACACAAGGGAGAGGCCTCCACAAGGTAGGGCCCCTCAAGGGAAGGGACCCACAAGGAAAGGGCCCCACAAGGAAAAGCCCTATAAGGGAGAGGCCCCCAAAAGGTAGAGCCCTATAGGGGAAGATCCCGACAAGGAAAGTCCCTCAAGGGAGGGGCCCCACAAGGGAGGGCCCCATAAGGTAAAGCCCCACAAGAGAGGGGCCCAACAAGGGAGGACCCTACAAGGGAGGGCCCTACAAGGGAGGGGCCCTACAAGACAGGGGCCCACAAGGGAGGGGCCCCACAAGGGTCCCTCCCTACAAGGTGGTGGGGAGGGTGTAGAGGGTGGTGTAGCGAGGGTGGGGGCCCCTCCGTACAAGGAAGGGGCCCACAAGAAAGGGGCCCCACATGGGAGGGGGCCCCCACACGGGAGGGCCCTACAAGAGAGGGGCCCACAAGGGAAGGACTTACAAGGGATGGGACCCACAAGGGAAGGGCCCCATAGAGAAAGGGCCCTATAAGGGAGGGGGCCCCACAAGGGAGGGGGGCCCCCCAAGGGAGGGGCCCACAAGGACGCCTCACCTGGCTGGGTGTTGAAGCCGGTGCCTCCGTTAAGACATGGACGCCTCACCTGGCTGGGTGTTGAAGCAGGTGCCTCCGTTAAGACATGGACGCCTCACCTGGCTGGGTGTTGAAGCAGGTGCCTCCGTTAAGACAAGGACGCCTCACCTGGCTGGATGTTGAAGCAGGTGCCTCCGTTAAGACAAGGACGCCTCACCTGGCTGGGTGTTGAAGCAGGTGCCTCCGTTAAGACAAGGACGCCACACACACTCGTCCTCGTCCTCACACGTCTCCTCACTACTGCTCAGCGCCCGGCCCTCACCACACCTGTGACGACCACACCTGTCACTACCAGCCCCTCACCACACCTGTCACTACCACCCCCTCACCACACCTGTGACGACCACATCTGTCACTACCAGCCCCTCACCACACCTGTCACTACCAACCCCTCACCACACCTGTCACTACCAGCCACTCACCACACCTGTCACTACCAGCTCCTCACCACACCTATGACGACCACACCTGTCACTACCAGCCCCTCACCCCACCTGTGATGATCACACCTGTCACTAAAAGCCCCTCACCACACCTGTGATGACCACACCTGTCACTACCAGCCTCTCACCACACCTGTGACGACCACACTTGTCACTACCAGCCCCTCACCACACCTGTCACTACCAACCCCTCACCACACCTGCGATGACCACACCTGTCACTACCAGCTCCGCACCATACCTGTGATGACCACACCTGTCACTACCAGCCTCTCACCACACCTGTGATGACCACACCTGTCACTACCAGCCCCTCACCAAACCTGTGATTACCACATATGTCACTACCAACTTCTCACCACACCTGTGATGACGAAAACTCTCACTACCAGTCCCTCACCACACATGTGATGACCACACCTGTCACTACCAGCCCCTCACCACACCTGTCACTACCAGCCCCTCACAACACCTGTGATGATCACACTTGTCACTACCAGCCCCTAACCACACCTGTCATAACCAGCCCCTCACCAAACCTGTGATGACCACACCTGGCATTACCAGCCCCTCACCACACCTGTGATGACCACACCTGTCATTACCAGCCCCCTCCACACCTATGATGACCACACCTGTCATTACCTGCCCCACACCACACCTGTGATAACCACACCTGTCACTACCAGCCCCTCACCACAACTGTGATGACCAAACCTGTCACTACAAGCCCCTCACCAAACCTGTGATGTCCACACCTGTCACTACCAGCTTTTAATTTCATATCTAAATATGGAAATATGTTAGTAATTATACATCCATATTTTAAGTGTAAAACACATCAGAGGCCGTTCATTAAATCAACATTTAAGACCTCTAATAGAGATTACATGTTAACTAAATAATAATTAATCCGTGTTAAGAGTGGACAGTGGGAGGACAAAAGTTGTATAAGGCTCCCAACTTGCCCGAGATTTAGAATAGAACAATAATTTGTGTAACAATTGGTATCTGATTATAGAAATATGCGTCCAGAGCAGCAATCTGTTATTCCGGGGAATTACAATGGAGGACAACAATAATTTATGAGACTAACATTTTACGAGAACAGCAATTAAAGAGAAGAACAATTCAAGAGAACAACAAAAAAGTATGTTATTGGGAAAGTTTAAAACTGATTGCGATGGACACCAGAGAATTGTTGTGTACAGACCCGCAATGGTAGGACCTCCAGGTGTCGACGCAGGAGAGCGGGGACCTGCAGGAGACGTTGGCACAGGCAAGAGGACCACCACACCCTTGCTCGACGCCCTGGAACACGCTGACCTGACCCCAGGCTGTGCTGTTGATCGCTGGCGGTAGTGGTATCCTCCGCCCGGAGATCCTCAGGTCGTCCATACATCCTATAGTGGTAATGGTCAGGAGTAATATTATATTTCTATCTCACTCCCTCATATTTATATATAAATATATATACTCAACATACCCAGTTTAACACTAACCATTGTGATAGTCTCTGTGTATGCTGAACACGGTGACTCCAGCATACTCGGGCGTGCCTCCCACGTGGACGCCCTCCTGGCCGTCCACCTGCAGCAGCTGGCGTCCCTCCAGCACCACCGAGGCGTTGTACAGGTCCCCGTCGCCGTCGTCAGCCGTCAGGAAGACCGCAGAGCCGTACCTGCCAGGGACACACCTCTTACTGACCTACAAGGTCAGCTCACATTTTCTCTTTTGTGTGAACAAATTAGTTTAAATGCAAATTGGAAAAATAAAGTAAAGATAAAGTAACAAAATTCAAATAACTTAGTGACAGAGTTACGAGGACAGTATTACAGGGACACTATTACAGGGATAGTATTACAGGCACAGTATTACAGACCATATTGTTGTTAGTATTACAGTGATGTAATGCAAGCTCTGCAATGTTAATGTTAAAGGAGTAGAATAACAATGCCCGTGAAACATTAATACATTGATAAAATGCAAATATTACGTCATTAGTTTTAGAGGAATACAGAGTGCCTGTATTACAATGATACAATGCTTGCATTACAGTGATACAATGAATGAATGAATTACAGTGATACAAAGCCTGTATTACTGTGATACAATATCAGTATTACAGTGATACAGTGCCAGGATTGCAGTGACTGAAATAGTGTACCAATGTTACAGCGCTAGTGGAACAGGTGTCAATGTTACAGTGGTAAGATGTAACATCAGTAATTGTATGCATCACTAGAGGGATAGAGAGGCAATAAGAGAGCGCGTGTACCTTGCAGCAAGGAGAGAGTGCCAGCGGCCGTCAGCGAGGGCGGCCCGGGAGAGACAGAGGGAGGTGGTGGGTCGCGGGTGGAGACGCAGCACCACACACACGCGGCCGCCCACCATTTCCACCGCCCACATGTCCCGCCCATGTTGTGACGTCATCACCACCAGTTTTCCTCCTCTCCTCCGCGTCCTGAACCTGCGGCAGCAACACATGTTACCACCTGTGTACGTGGGACGCTAGACACTCCTACCACCTGTGTACGTGGGGCACGAGACACTCCTGCCACCTGTGTACGTGGGGCACGAGACACTCCTACCACCTGTGTACGTGGGGCACGAGACACTCCTACCACCTGTGTACGTGGGGCACGAGACACTCCTACCACCTGTGTACGTGGGGCACGAGACACTCCTGGCACCTGTGTACGTGGGGCACGAGACACTCCTACCACCTGTGTACGTAAGGCATGAGACACTCCTACCACTTGGCGTACGTGGGGCACGAGACACTCCTGCCACTTGTTTACGTGAGGCATGATAAACTCCTACCACCTGTGTACGTGGGGCACGAGACACTCCTGCCACCTGTGTACGTGGGGCACGAGACACTCCTACCACCTGTGTACGTGGGGCACGATACACTCCTACCACCTGTGTACGTGGGGCACGATACACTCCTACCACCTGTGTACGTGGGGCACGAGGCACTCCTACCACCTGTGTACGTGGGTCGACCGATGCTGACCTTTGATTACATGTCGCTTATTAGGGCCAAATACTCGCCATGTGAGCGATACAGGAAGCATTACCGAAGTATATCAGGGTATGAGATATATCAGGGCACCAGAACTATACCCCTCTCCCAGGATGTCCGTGTAGCTTTTGCAAGTTACAGGGGTAACGATCTATTTCGAGTAGACAATGATAAATCCATGGATGGGATTATAGGTAATATGTTATTATGGCTGACGTGTTAGGACATTTCACACACATGATATCTGAAACAGGTATTCTGTAATTAGGGAATGTTATCATGATTGCATGAAAGACGACTGTCTTTCTGAGGGAGATGCGTCACACCTGAGAGAGGCTGAGAGAGGTACCACACACCTGAGAGAGGTGCCACACACCTGAGAGAGGTGCCACATACCTAAGGGAGATGGTGGTGGTGTAGCCGAGGGGCGTGAAGGAGAGGGTCAGCTTCACGTAACTGTTGTGGAGGAAAGTAGTGGGCGTGGTGGGCGTGACACAGCCTGGCCCCGCCCACCCCGGCAGGCATTCACACCGCAGGGAGCCAGGCGACCCCTGGCACCTGCAGAGAGAAATTGAGATGAAGAGGGAATTAGGAGCAAATGGAGAGAGAGGAGAGAGAACGAGGAGACAGGGGGGAAGAACAGTGGAGAGAGCACAGGTGATAGAAATAAATGAAGGCAGTGAAATAGAATTAGGGATAATGAGAGAGAGAGAGAAGAGGGGAGATAGAGACGCAGACAGGATGCCGAGACTCTGAAGAAGAGGGGAGAGGAGAGATACACGCGAGATGAGAGGATGAGAGTTAATGATGAAGGAAGTGTCTAGTATAAGTCGCAAGAGATCGGAACACAAACACTGACACACACACATTAATCATCGTTAGCATAATAATGTGCACAATAAGTACCGGGAGAGATCAATTGAGTCTTGCACATTGCAGTCGAAGTTACACTTCATTTAGGTAATATACATTAACTCCCTAATTTGCATACTCACCTCAGTACCGACAGTCAGGAGGTATTCAGGAACAATTCAACCATATCCCCTGATTTGCATTAGGTATATATATATATATATATATATATATATATATATATATATATATATATATATATATATTCTGCAACTGGTGTACAGGCCTCCTTAACCATCACCACCGGACAAAGATGATGGTAGCCGAGGCTAATTCCCCATCATTCCACCGGCACTCTGATGGTAATCTTAGGCATGGTATTTTATCATATCATCACATTCTTTGGGGCACTCGTGAGGAACACAAATGCCAACAGCCTGAATGGTTCCCAGGCATATATGCAACTGAAAACTCACACCCCAGAAGTGACTCGAACCCATACTGCCAGGAGCACTCTGCAACTGGTGCACAGGACCCCTTAACCACTCGACCATCACGACCGGATAAAGATGATGGTAGCCGAGGCTAATTCCCCATCATCCCGCAGGCATTCTGATGGTAATTTTGGGCTTGGTATTTTATCAAATCATCTCATTCTTTGAGGAACACATGAGGAACACAAATGCAAACAAGCCTGAATGGTCCCCAGGACTATATGCAACTGAAAACTCACACCTCAGAAGTGACTGGGGTGTGAGCTTTATGACATATGACAGCCGATACATATTAACACACGTGACATATTCTAAATGAGAAACAAGAAGTGATACATAATGACATGTAATACATTATCACACGTGATACATACTGGCATATTATACATACTAACACGTGATAAATACTGAAACACAAAAAACATACTTCTTGGGCCGACATTATTTTCAAATACACAATAAAACCACTGAAGCATCAGGTATCTAATAGTTGTGTAAGAAGACACAAGTCGGGACCGTTTTGCTTATTTCAGCGGTCCCAACTTGTGTCGTGTGTTTTTCGTTACCCCCGTGAACATAAGAACATAACAACAAAGATAACTGCAGAAGGCCTATTGGCCCATATGAGGCAGCTCCTTTTCATAACCACCCAATCCCACTCATATACTTGTCCAACCCGCGCTTGAAACAATCGATGGACATAAGAACAAGAACATAAGAACAAAGGTAACTGCAGAAGGCCTATTGGCCCATACGAGGCAGCTCCTATTCTATAACCACCCAATCCCACTCATATACTTGTCCAACCCGTGCTTGAAACAATCGAGGGACCCCACCTCCACAATGTTACGCGGCAATTGGTTCCACAAATCAACAACCCTGTTACTGAACCAGTATTTACCCAAGTCTTTCCTAAATCTAAACTTATCCAATTTATATCCATTGTTTCGTGTTCTGTCCTGTGTTGATACTTTTAATACCCTATTAATATCCCCCCGGTTATGTCCATTCATCCACTTGTAAACCTCTATCATGTCACCCCTAACTCTTCGCCTTTCCAGTGAATGCAACTTAAGCTTTGTTAATCTTTCTTCATATGAAAGATTTCTAATTTGGGGAATTAACTTAGTCATCCTACGCTGGACACGTTCAAGTGAATTTATATCCATTCTATAATATGGCGACCAAAACTGAACTGCATAATCTAAATGGGGCCTAACTAGAGCAAGATATAGCTTGAGAACCACACCAGGTGTCTTGTTACTAACGCTGCGATTAATAAATCCAAGTGTCCGATTTGCCTTATTACGAACATTTATGCATTGATCCTTTTGTTTTAAATTCTTACTAATCATAACTCCCAGATCCCTTTCGCAATCCGACTTCGCAATCACAACACCATCTAGCTCGTATCTTGTAACTCTATCATCATTACCTAACCTCAGAACTTTACATTTATCAGCATTAAACTGCATCTGCCAATCCTTTGACCATTTCAAAACCCTATCTAGATCAACTTGAAGTGATAGTGAGTCCTCCTCCGAATTAATTTCCCTACCGATTTTCGTATCATCGGCAAATTTGCAAATGTTGCTACTCAAACCTGAATCTAAATCATTTATATATATTATAAACAACAGAGGTCCCAGGACAGAGCCTTGAGGCACTCCACTTACAACATTTTCCCACTCTGACTTGATTCCATTTATACTAACTCTCTGTTTCCTTTGGTATAGCCATGCCCTAATCCAGCTTAATATAGCACCCCCAATACCATGAGACTCTATTTTTTTAATCAGTCTTTCATGTGGCACTGTATCAAAAGCTTTGCTAAAGTCAAGGTATACAACATCGCAATCCTTACCACTATCAACTGCCTCAACAATGCTAGAATAAAAAGATAACAAATTTGTTAAACATGAACGGCCATTTATAAAGCCATGTTGCGACTCAATTATTAATATATGTTTTTCAAGATGAAGACGAATTTTATTTGCTATTATAGATTCGAGTAACTTTCCCACAATAGACGTTAGGCTAATTTGTCGATAGTTAGACGCAAGTGATCTATCTCCTTTCTTAAAAACTGGTATCACATTAGCAACTTTCCAAAACTCTGGCACTCTGCCTGACTCTATTGATTTATTAAATATGGTTGACAGTGGGTCACAAAGCTCCTCTTTGCATTCTTTAAGCACCCTAGCAAACACTTCATCCGGCCCTGGGGATTTGTTTGGTTTGAGTTTTACTATTTGTTTAAGAACATCCTCCCTGGTAACTGCTAAACTCGTCAACCTGTCCTCGTCCCCACCCACATAGACTTGTTCGGCTGAAGGCATATTGTTAAGTTCCTCTTTAGTAAATACAGATACAAAATATTTATTAAAAATACTACTCATCTCTTCATCACTATCTGTTATTTGACCTGTCTCAGTTTTTAATGGACCTATCCTTTCCCTAGTCTTAGTACGATATAACTGAAAAAACCCTTTAGGATTTGTCTTTGCTTGCCCTGCTATGCGAACTTCATAGTTTCTTTTTGCTTTCCTTATCTCTTTTTTAACATTTCTAACCAGTTGTACGAATTCCTGTTCTAAAGTGACCTCCCCATTTTTAATCCTTTTGTACCAAGCTCTCTTTTTACCTATAAGGTTCTTCAAATTCTTTGTTATCCACTTTGGGTCATTAGTATACGATCTATTCAATTTGTATGGTATACTACGTTCCTGAGCTTTGTTTAGAATATTCTTAAATAAGTTATATATTGAATCCACATCGAAATCCCCATTTAAGTCACCTATCGCTGGGTTCATGTCTCGCTCCAAGACCAGCCCACACCCCATACCCAAGCCTTTCCAATCAATTTGACCCAAAAAATTTCTTAGGCTATTAAAATCAGCTTTTCGAAAATCTGGCACTTTAACAGAATTTTCTCCTACTGGTCTATTCCATTCTATGCTAAATCTGATTTCTTTGTGATCACTGCTCCCTAGCTCACTCCCTATTTCGATGTCATTAATTTGCGTTTCCCTGTTAGTTAACACTAAATCTAAAATATTATTTTCCCGTGTTGGTTCCTTAATGTGTTGCGTAAGAAAGCAATCGTCAATTAATTCTAGAAAATCTTCTGCTTCACTATTCCCTGTTTTGTTCAACCAGTTTATTCCGCTAAAATTAAAGTCACCCATGACATAAATACTGTTAGATCTAGATGCTCTAGATATTTCATCCCATAGATGCTTTGCTTCCATTCTGTCTAAATTTGGTGGCCTATATATTACTCCTATTATAATATTATTAGCTATTTCGTTTAATTCAATCCAAATAGTTTCTGTGTGTGGCTCTGTTTTGATTCCCTCTTTGAGACTACATTTCAAATTGTCCCTAACATATATGGCTACTCCACCTCCTCGTCTAATATATCTATCTGGACCCCACCTCCACCACGTTATGCGGCAATTGGTTCAACAAATCAACAACCCTGTTACTGAACCAGTATTTACCCAAGTATTTCCTAAATCTAAACTTATCCAATTTATACCCATTGTTTCGTGTTCTGTCTTGTGTTGATATTTTTAATACCCTATTAATATCCCCCCTGTTATGTCCATTCATCCACTTGTAAACCTCTATCATGTCACATTTAACTCTTCGCCTTTCCAGTGAATGCAACTTAAGCTTTGTTAATCTTTCTTCATATGTAAGATTTCTAATTTGGGGAATTAACTTAGTCATCCTACATTGGACACGTTCAAGTGAATTTATATCCATTCTATAATACGGCGACCAAAACTGAACTGCATAATCTAAATGGGGCCTAACCAGAGCAAGATATAGCTTAAGAACCACACCAGGTGTCTTGTTACTTACGCTTCGATTAATAAATCCCAGTGTCCTATTTGCCTTATTACGAACATTCATGATCCTTTTGTTTTAAATTCTTACTAATCATAACTCCCAGATCCCTTTTGCAATCCAACTTCGCAATCTCAACACCATCTAGCTCGTATCTTGTAACTCTATCATCATTACCTAGCCTCAGAACTTTACATTTATCAGCATTAAACTGCATTTGCCAATCCTTTGACCATTTCAAAACCCTATCTAGATCAACTTGAAGTGATAGTGAGTCCTCCTCCGAATTAATTTCCCTACCGATTTTCGTATCATCGGCAAATTTGCAAATGTTGCTACTCAAACCTGAATCTAAAT